ATTCACTCACCTCAGCCTCCCAAGGCATGGGATTACAGGCTGAGCCACCGAGCCTGGCTACACTTCTTATTATACCTGGCTAATTTATACATTTTTTTTCTTGAGTCAGAATCTCACTGTCACCCAGGTTGGAGTGCAGTGGCATGCTCCCGCCACCGCAGCCTCGACCTGCTGGGCTCAAGTGATCTTTCCACCTCAGCCTTCCAAGTAGCCGGAACTACAGGCATGTGCCACCATGCCCGGTTAAATTTTTGATTTATTGTAGCAATGAGGTCTCACCATGTTGCCCAGGCTGGCCTTGAAACCCTGGACTCAGGCAATCCTCTCGCCTTGGCCTCCGAAAGTACTGGGATTACAGGCGTGAGCCACCACACCCAGCATTAGATTAATTTTTTTAACTATGGGATCTTGCTGTGTTGCCCAGGCTGGTCTTGAACTCCTGGGCTCAAGTGATCCATCCCTCCCCTCACCTTCAGCCTCCTATAGTGCTGGAGTTACAGGTGTGAGCTGCTGCACCCCGCCTGTGATTCCATTTTACAGAAGCGGAAGCTGAGTCTGGAAGAGGTGAAGTGACGGGCCCAAGGCAGCGCCCATGACCAGGCCCCAGCATGGCAGGCTTCCCCGGGCCTGTAGACTCATCAGGTGCCGCAGGCCGGGGATGAGGATCCTCACCTGTCTCGTTGAGCTCGTGCATCTGGATGAGCTGTTGGGCGCGGGCCAGCGTGGCGCCGTCCTCGCCCTGGTCCTCCAGGAACTCCAGCAGCTCCGGGGCACTCAGCACGCGGTCCTCACCTGAGTAGTGGTGGAAGATCTCCTCCAGCTCCGGGCGCTTCAGTAGCTGTCGCAGGAACTCCTCGATCTCAGCGCCCTCCAGTCGCTCATTGTTGGAGTGATCACACTCCTGTGGGGCAGGGGAGAGGCTCGGAGGGGACAGCCCGGGAAACCGGACCCCACCAACGTGGCCGCCATCCGCTGCCGCCGGGATGGAAGTGTCCCCCATCTTACACGTGGAGAAACTGAGAGCGAGATTCCAGTCCCTTGGTTCACACAGCTGGTGAACCGCAGCTCTGCTGCCCAGGCTGGAGCACAGTGTCACGATCATGGCTCACTGCAGCCTTAGCCTCCCTGGCTCAGGTGATCCTCTACCCTCAGCCTCCCAAGTGTTGGGACGAAAAGTGCACACTGCCACACCTGGCTAGTATTTTGAATTCTTTTTTTTGTCTTAAAGATGAGGTCTCACTATTGTTGCCCAGGTAGTCTCAAGCTCCTGGACTCAAAAAATCCTCTTGCCTCGGTCTCCCAAAGTGTTGGGGTTATAGGCATGAGCCACTGCGCCCAGTCCAGGGCTGGATTTTAAGGTTCAGTACCTGTTCCTCCATACCCATGAACTACCCCAAGGATCAAGATGTGGGAGGAAGGCTGGGTGCGGTGGCTTAAGTCTGTAATCCCAGCACTTTGGGAGGCCGAGGCAAGAGGATTGCCTGAGTCCAGGGGTTCATGACCAGCCTGAACAACTTGGCAAGACCTCAACTCTACAATAAGTCAAAAAATTAACCGGCTTGGTAACATGTGCCTACAGTTCCAGCTACTTGGGAGGCTGAGGCGGAAGGCTCGCCTGAGCCCAGCAGGTT